ACCTCCTGGGAGCATGGCCTCCAAGAGACCAAGACGACCAAGAGTATACTACAGGGAGGGATCCGGGAGATGAGAGGGGCCCTCTCAGGAACACCCCCAAGTCCACCGTGCCATCACAGGCTCCCCACTAAGCCAGCATGCTTCCTGGCAGGCTTTAGGAAATCACACTGCCCCAAACCCTGGCTAATCTAATCTAATCAGCGGTCCCCGGGGAGGTTCCCGCTGTCCACCCAGCACAGACCATACAGGGCTGAGGAGGACGCTCGGCCTGACCAAGGCCAGGCTGCTTGACCATGGCCTGTGGCGCCTTTACCCCACCCCACCTGTAGTGAACAGGCATCTCAGGGGAGACTGCAGTCACAGTGGGGATGGGGCCCTGGGCACCCCTCCTCCAGCGAAGGGGAGGGCACCACCTCCTGCCCCACACTCCCTTCCGCAGCAGGGGAAGGGAGTACGTCCTAGATATCAGCACCAGTAAGGCTGTGGGAACAGAAAGCCCAGGCCAAGAGGAAGCAAGCTTCGATGATAACGAAGGGAGTGTTGCTCTGCACGCGTGGGGGTCCCTCAGAGCCGGACGCACACGTGACAACATGTGGCGAAGGGCACCCTGCCTGCCATGCGAACTGACGCCGCCATGGGCCAGATGCCACATTCAGCAGGGAAAGTCTGATTTACTCGGGAAGCTGAGTTCCCACCCAGGAGGGAGCCCTACTCGCCTGTGACCTGCTGGGAGCTCTCATTCATCCACAGCAGCAGGTGGACAGGGGTCAGGGGTCTGTCCCGATTGCTGAGACATTTCTGACTGTGTGTGTCCCCCCTGGTATCTGGGGTCACTGTGTCCACAGCAGAGACATACATGATGTGCCCCCCCCCCCAAGCAGTCTATTCTTGGCCTTGTCAGTCTCTTGGAGCCCGTTGTGACTGAGAACCATGGACCCCTCCCCAAAGACCCTCCACCACTTCTCCCAGAGCAGGTGTGGTGGGCTGGCCATTTTGCCCAGCTGGGCCAAGCTAGAAGTGGTGGCCATTCTGGTTTATTTCCGCCAGGACAAAGGACGACGGAGCCCCCTCCCCCCAAAGTCGGGAACAAAGGGAGGGTGGCCAGCTTATTTGTAGAGGAACTCAGCCAAGGGACTTTGCTCTGGCCCCCAGGAGGGTGCCCAGGGTCATAAGTGCCAGCTCAGGCACGCTGGCCATTCTCAGAGGCCCTTCTCCAGAACTTTCCTGGCAGGGCTGCCGTTCCTTTGCTGACAGAAGGCGTGGCCAGCTGCTGCCTGACCGTCACCCTTCCCCCCACTATCCAGGGGAGGGGTGGTGGCTGCCTGCGTGGTTGGGCACATGGTGGTCAGTCCCCTCTGCAGTCCTTGCCTGAACAGCAGCTCAAATACAGAAGGGAATGATGTTAGGATCCCACCTGGCTGCTGGGGCAGATAGCGTTACACACCTCTCATTATCATTCCATCCTACAGAGCTAACTGCTCTATCCTGGGGGGCCAGGTGGGGGTGGGGGTGCAGATCTGACCTCCCTGTGGGAACATCCATTAGCTGGATTTGTTGTTGTGAAGTGCCGTCGAGTCGGTTCCGACCCATAGCGACCCTGTATAAGGTTTCCAAGGAGCTGCTGGTGAGCTTGAACCGCCAACCTCGCAGTTCCAACGGCTCTGCAGTCTGGTGCATTAACCCACAGCACCACACCAGGACTCCATCTAGGCCAAAGACGCGGGGAGGGGCAGCTGGGCAAGGGGAAATGGACGAACTGCTGGAGCCAGGAAATCTGGTCCACACACCCCAGCTCTGCCAGATCCACCCCCAACAGCTGGGACATCTATCCTCGGGGACCAACATAGTGTGGGATGTGGGACCCCAATCAGTGAATACTGCCTGGAGGAGGCAGCTCTTGCTTGGTTGGAATCAGAGAAGGTAAGAGTGCACGTCCCACATTGTTGTCTGTTATGTGCCGTGGAGTCAGTTCCGACTCAGAACGACCCTGTACAGAGTTTCCAGAGCTGTAAATCTTTACGTGGGCAGAAAGCCTCATCTTTCTCCTGCAGAGCAGCTAGTAGTTTGGAACTGCTGACCCTGAGGATAGCAGCCCGATTCGTAACCACTATGCTACCAGAGCTCCTTACATTAGAAACTGGAAATGAGAGGGGACGCTGAGGATGGGAGCAGGAAGCTCCCTGCAGAAGGGGCTCCCAAAAGAGAAACTGACATATGCCCAACCGAGTTCACCACAGAAGGTCGCCACTGTACACGCCAATCTCTCTGTTGGCCATTCAGGTACCCTGGCTAGGCAGGGGAGGGTGTGTGTGTGGGGTGGGGCCCATGAGGACAGAAAACCAAGCACCAAGGGAAAGGTGTCTTCCTATGGAGGTGTGAGGGACACCTTGTGGGACCAGGGCTCTTAGAGTGGGGCTGGGCCAGGTGACAGGCCTGAGGCAGCAGGCTGGCCGTACCTCCCTGGACACCCAGCCGTGGCACAGCAGAATGATCCCAGAGGCTCAGTGGGACACCGGTCGGACACTGGGTAGGCCTTCACCTGTCAACAGTTACAGGGACAGGCCCCTAGGATAAAAGATGGATTCCACCCCACAGTGCACCGAGCACCGTGACACATAGCCGGAGCTTGCGGCCCCAGGAAGCCCCACAGCTCTCCAGGCCAAGCTGGACATGTGGGGACCCCAGGACCCCACGCACCTGCTCAATTCCAGGGAGTTACAGCTCTGCCAGGGCCGGACACCACTCCCTGCCCAGTGGCGGGCCACTTCCTTCCTGTGCTAGAGGCCCATCCGGCCTATCCCGACTTCCAGGGAAATAGGGCCTGCTGTATGTCAGACCTGCCACCTGGGCTGTAGGGCAAGCCACCCACTGAGCAGAGTGTGGGGTGTCTAGTCTGCACCGGGAGGTCCGCCCCCACCTCCATCGGATGGCTTTTATCTGTGGCTGCGGTGAAGCCGGAACCCACACCCTGTGGCTTCTACAATGAAATCAGTGCTCCCGAGTTGACAAAAACAGGCCACGTTGTGGCAGAGACTGTGGGGGACAGACCTTGGCTGTACCACTAACCTGAAGTGCACATGTTACCGCAGTTATGACCGACAGCACCAAGGGTATCCCACACGCACCCAATGTATGCTTGGTCACCCCAATGTTCGTGTGGGGGCTTTGTCTCATACTGCCCCATCTATAGGGGTGTTCCAAGTGCTGACTCTCCCCTCCCTCCTGCTTCCTAGACTGTACTCCAGGGGTGAGGGGTGAGCACTGGGGGAGCTCACCCTATACCCTTCTCAGCAGGTTCAATGTTGTCACACTAACGAGGCACCCCGGAACTCACACAAATGGCAGAGCCTCGGCCCTCCTGCTCCAAACCATGTCCCCTCTGAACGGAGCACCAGTGACGGCCCGGCCACAGCTCACCAAGGCCATCTCAGATACGGCTCTGTGAGCCGGGGACGGGGACCAGGTAGCCATGTAACTTGAGGAGACACCACATCAGTGGGGCACCTAAAAGGTAGGGACCTGTACCCCCACAGCAGAACGAGGCATCCCAGATGGGGTCACGCTAGCAAACTCTTGAGGTCACTGAGATTGGCCTCACCGGGTTGGCCCTCACAGCCAGCTTCCTCGATGGGACTGCAGCAAGAAAACCAAGGTCAGGACCCCTGCTGTCGGAGTGGCCCTAGTCCAGGCTCCGAGGGGCACTGCCGACAGCCACCAACCCTGGGGACCAGCCCAGGTGCCTGGCTAACACAGACGCCCCTTCCAGGAGAGATACAAGGATCCCAGGTTTCCTCTGCTCACAAACGCCAAGTACAGGACACTCAGGCTGGGCTTGTCAACAAGTGGCTGGTAGGGGAGATGTCCCCAAGGCTTTCAGAGACCAGCGCTCTACTGGTCTCCCAGCTCAGGGACCAATTTTAGGAACCCCTGCCATTTTAAACTTCTTCCTTACCCCCCAGCACCTCCCCGCCTCTGCTCCCAGATGCACTGCCAGGAACTGAACATAGCTGAGAGGCAGACCCGGAAAGTGAAGCCGTTTTTAGAAAAATCCCATCCATTAACTTCACGCACATTTGACCTCTGACTTTTCAAAACCAAATTCTGACAGAACTGTCCTAGTAAGCATCAAACTGATGTTGCAAGCAGGACGAGCACTCTCCCAGGGCTCCATCTGCTCATGGTGCCTTGGGCTGCAGGCAGCAGGATTCCATGGGCACAGACACCACACACGGCACCTGGAGGGAGTGAGGAGGACCCTGGGGGACAAGGCCCTGCCCCAAGAGTCCTGGAATGGAAAGACACCTGCAGGACCACTCGGTGGTACAGGGACAAGAAGAGCCATTTACCCGTCGCTTGTTGTTGTCATTGTCATTAGCTGCCATGTAACAAACCCCTGCCTGGTCCCGTGCCATCTCCAGAGACTGGGTTCTGACCAAACTGTTGTGACCCACAGGCTTTCCTTGATGGATGTGTACAAGTCGGTCTCCAGGTCTTTCTTCCTAGTCTATCTTAGTCTGGAAACCTGTCCAGCAACCTAGCAACACACAAGCCTCCACTGACAGCCAGCGCTCTCCAGAGTCCAGACCCACCATCACTCCCTTCAGTGTCCATTGGCCCCTGGCCATTGTCCAAGGCTCTGAAGGAAGGACAGCTAGAGTTCTCTCCTGGACAAAACGACCTGGGTCTGTTGGCCCGAGCTGGCTTGCCCACCAGAAGCTCCATGTGGGCGTGGGCCCGGCTGACAACACCCACCGTGGATGCCCAGGGGTACCCCACTCCCTAGGTGGGTGGGCATGGCAGAGGGTGGCTGAAGGCCATGCTCCAATCAGTAAAGCAGGCAGTGGTCCCGCCCACAAGGTGGGCTCCCTCCCACTGGCACCTACCACCCTCATCTCTGCCAGAGGAGGGCCAATTCAACGGGCTCCCACCCTCTCAGGGCTACAGCGGGGCCTGCTCTCCTCCCCTGCCAGGACAGCTGCAGGCTGAGGGCGCCCACACACTCACTGGGGAGCAGTGTGGGGGGTGTGCCCGAAGGCTTACAGGGCCAATCCTAGGGGCTTGACGAGGACTTGCTCCTCCTGCCTGCCAGCGTCCTTGAACAGCTGAGCTGACGGAGCTCTACACAGAAGAGGCAGTACCACCACCCTCAGGGGTCAGTGAGATGGCCAGGAGCTAGGTTTCTCTTTGGGACCTGTGATGGTGACCAAACACCATTGTGACAATCACGCCCCCACCAACCGGGAACAAGGTCAGCTCTGAAGAAGGCCCTTCAGCACCCAAGGACGCTGGGAAAGGTAGGGTGGCTGCCCCCACTTCCTGCCTGGTTGCTCCTCCAAATGGTACAGCAGAACTCCAGCCCCTCCTCCCCCGACCAGGTTCAGGGGCTCCACGCTCTGTCTGGGGCCCCAGAGGACAGGGCCTTCCTTGTAACTCCCCTCATCCCCAACACCTGTCCTCTTAAGCAAGCACTGAGGGCTCAAGTCTGCACCCTGGAGGGAGGGAGTTCTCAGGGGGCACTGGGGAGCCATTGTGGCTCCGTCCTCCCCACCCCCGCATCGACCACAAAAGTCCCCAGGCACACGCTCCCAAGGGAACCACACCATGGGCATTGGAGGTCCAGACCCGGAGACAGCATCCTCTCAGAGGGAAATCAAAACGGCATAATCCACTCAGGCCTCTCCAATCAGCAAGGGTAAGGACACACACCACTGCTCCAGTTCTCAGAGCTGTAGCCAATTTGAAGTCAGGGCAAAGCACATGGCAGTGCCACCGCACAGGCAACGGCAAGCAGGGCTCCAACCTGAGCACAGCAGCAGACATTCCCAGGGGAGGTATGGAGTGTGGCAGCCGGGACCGGCTGGACCTGCCCAGATCTGCACACGGTGGCGGTAGCCACCTCCTGACACTGCCTCCTCGTGTGGGCCGGGTTTCTGCCTAGCCACCGTGCCAGAGTTGCCCAACCTGTACCGGCAGTGCCGTCAAACCCAGAGTCCTCAGTAACACAAACAAAACATGTAACAGTAGCAAGACAGGCACCATCTGTATTCACAGCAGGCAGAAGAAGCGCCACAAGGTTGTGCCTACCCCCGCCACCACGGTGAGGTCTGTTACTAGGTCAGGTGACATTCCAGGGGGAGCTACCCCCAGACACCAGCCTCGAGTTCCACACCTTCATGGAAACATGCAGATCCACTGGCCCAAGAAACACAGACTGGCTCACATTGCTCATGCCTGCCAAGCACTCAGTTACAAAAAATCGGCCCACTGCCACCCAGCTGAACTGCAGGTAAATGAAAGGTCCCCTTTCACTGTGAGCCTGGCCACTGGTGACCATCCCGGATTTCCCGGAGCAAAACCAGCACATGTAAATCATTATTCCTGCCAGGAAAGCTCCTATTTGGTGCAAAAGCAGGAAAAGGTTCTGGTCAGCCGTCTCCTCCAGTCCCTTTAAGCAGGCAACTTGGAATGGAGTGATTACTGACGATTTCATAAACATATGGAAACCCAAAGGTGGTTGGGCCGCTTCCCTAGTCAACCTCCGTAGCCTGTTTACCAGGGAGGGCAATGTTAGCATGGCCTCAGGAATGGCTTCATCAACCCCTACCCAGATGCGGGGTTCTCCGGACAACCTAGCAGGAACTTGTAATCTCTGCCCCGGGGCTCCAGGGGACGTCTCCACCTGGCTGTCCGGATCGATCGAGTTGAGAGGGTTTCACAGGCCACTGACCAGCACCGGTGGCCGGGTTTCTGGAATACAGTTAGGAACTGTTGCTCACAGCCAAGCGCTCTGCGGTCCCTGTCGGTGGCCATGAACCCGCAGCAGCCGCGCAAATACCAATTACTTCGGTCCCCAAACACTTTGGAAAGAAAGCACATCTTTGTACCAGGCGTCATGGACGCTGGGCGCTGTGTTTTCTAGTGAGAAAACGCCTGCCAGGAACTGAAGCCGCCCCCGGGCCATGGGAGCCCTGGATCCCTGGTCTGGCTTTTAGGGGCGGGGGTCGACACTGAGGGGAGTGTGCTTCAGAAACAGCAGAAGGGCGGGCTTGCACCCCAGTGGCCGGGGAGGGGCTCGGCGATGCCGGGCGCTAGCTGCGGGCTCTTCTCACATTTGTGAAGCGGGGGCAGGCGCATCAGCCTCCTACACCACCAGTCTCCTCCGCAGTTACATAAGATGACGGATTATCCGTCCGTCCACCCGCCCGCCCGCCCGGCCTCCCACCTCGCGCCACGTCCACGGACGCCGGGAAGGAGTTGTGGAAAGGGAGAGGAAAGCCTGTTGAAAAAAAGTGCCCAAGCTCCGACTGCAGGCGCCGGGACCAGCCTGCCCGTGGACAGAGCACTGCATGGCCTCCGGACCCCGGACTGCACAGCCCGGCCCACGCCAGGCAGCGCCCCCGGACGTGGGTGCCCGGTGCGCGGGCTGGGGATGCACGGGGGCGCTCGGAAAGACGTGGAGGTGCGAGGAGACGCGTGGGCAGGGGTGCTCCCGAGGGGGGAGACGGGACCCGCGCCCGCCTAGGGAAGGTGGGGGCCGGACGGGCACGGTCACTTGTGACCGGACAGCCCGGATCCAAGCCCGCGCCCGGAGACCAGGAACAGCGTAGGGAGGGCCTCGGGGATCCGGCCCGGGTCCACCAGGTCGGGCCCGAACGCGCGCGGGCGGCGCGGAACCCCTGGGCGCCCGGGTGGGCAGCTTGACGCCGAGCTCACCTTGTAGACATTCTCTGTGAGCCGGTGCATCTCCTCCGAGCGCGACAGCGACATGGTCCTGGTCCTGGTGGCACCGCAGACCAGAGCGAGGGGCGAAAGCAGCAACGGAAGCTGTAGCTCACGGGGCGCGGGGAACCGGACGGCCAAGCGGGCGCCGGAGCGGCCCCTTTATAGACCTAGGAGGCCCCGCCTCACGCAGGCCCCGCCCCGCGCCCCGCCCCCGCGCGCCGGCCGCACCACCCCCAGACGCCCACCTGCGCCCCGGCCCGCTGCTGCTAGGCAACGGCCCGGCCCCGCCTCCGCGCCGCCTTCCCATTGGTGATTCCGAGGAGCACCGCCGGCGGGGGAATGAGGGCGGGAGAGGAGGTAGGGTCTGAAGGCCTGCGCCGATGGCGGTTGGTCGGTTGCAATGTCGCTCGGAGGAGAAGGCGGGGGCGGGGCCGGGCCGGGAACAGCCGGCCGGGGGCGGCGGAGGGGGTGGCGGCTCAGGAAGAGGGAGCGCAGGTGGGGGCGCGGGCTGACGGCGCGAGCGGGGGCCGCACTGTTAGGGGACGGTGAGGCCCGCGCTGACCTGGGCGGGTGAAGGCTGAGCGCGCGACCGCGGAGGTGAGTCTGCAAGGTGGGTGGCGTCCCGGGCTGACCCTAGGGGACCAGGACCCCTGTGGGTGAGTACCTTCGTGAGGGCAAGACCCCCATGGAAGAGCAGTACCTTCGGGACGGGTAGGACACTCGTGGTGAGGACCCTTGGGATAGGAGGACTATCGTGGGAGCAGGATCCTCGTGGAGACAGGATTCCATGGAAGGACAGGACCTCCATGGAAGAGGGCTCACATAGGAACAGGAGTATCCTTGGGGAGGTGGCTCCTGGGGTGACCCTCTGCGGGGGGAGCCCTCGTGAGGAGGGATGTTGCTGGGTGGAGGAGTTGAGCTGCGGTGGTTTTCAAGGTGCTTCCTTCGAGATTTTTGGAGGAAGATGACCAGGCTGGACATGTGCTTCTGATAACAATTTCCTTAGAGAAATCTTTATAGATATTGGACACTTTGAATTAATCCATTAGTGGCTCATTCCTGGACCCTCATTCACTTATTCTCAAACACAGGCCACTGAGAAGGGACCCCAGCAGGGCAGACTGGGCCCAGGACATCCTAGCCATTCCTATCTCCAAATGAGGACAAGGACAGCGAGATGGGACTCACATGGCCATCTCAGAGTTGTCTGGGACTCTTGGGTACCTAATTCCTTTGGTAGCAAGTGGCGAAGACACAGGAAGCAACCACCAGCCCGTGGGCACGAAGGCAGGCGCGTCTTCCTTGTCCCTCTTTTTCCTCTGGACCACTGACACCCAGCAATGCCCACAGCAGCCCTAGGCCTGGCCTTACCCAATGGGGGCTGCTGGCAGCACATGGCTGGTGAACCTCGGAGAGCAGGCCAAGCGAGCTGAGAGTTTATCAAGGCCATGGCAAACTTGCTGGCTGGCAGAGCACAGAATACTCCCCTCCCCAGCCTAGGAGAACTTTTCTCTAGAACTTTCTGCACCAGAGGCAGGAGCACAGGACAGCCCCACATTCCAGAAGGTCCCCAGAGTGGAAACAGCCCCATCTTCACACTGGCTCCCTCTCATTCCCTTGGGTGACAGTGCGTGAGACCCTATGTGGCCAGCCAGTCGCCATATGAAAACCTCATTCCCACTCAGGTCCCCAGGTCTGGTGGGGGCTGAAGGCAATGAAGCCCAAGCTCACTTTCCAAGTGGGTCACTGGGTACGTGGTCTCATCCCTAGGCCTGGGCCTCACACGTGGCCCCAAGTGGGAAGGTTGGGCACCTCAGAGGTGCCGGTGAGAGAACAGTTCCTATAGGGAGCCAGCCCCACTGACGAGTGCCAGAGCTTGGGTGGGTGTGGTGTCCTGGGGTGGGAGTAGCTCTCTGCTCTCAACCCAGGCCTCCAAACTTCATCTTTTTCATCCCCTGGGCCTGGGCCCCACTGACGTACCCAAAACCCCCACTTGAATGGTGTGGGCTTAGGGCTGAGTACCAAGAACATGCAGTGGATAGGGCAGGGACAGTTGGGTGGTCCCCCAGGACTGGCCTGCCACTAGCTCCCAGTGAGCTGGGGGTACCCTCTTGTCTAATGCCTTTATATTGGGGAGGCAGTGATAGTGCCCCAACATCATGTCTTTATTATCGATTCTGAGGGTTCAGGACTCAGGTGGTAACACATTGCTACTGGGGCCCCCTGTCCTTAGCAGGAAACTTTCTCTCACCTGCTCCCAGAGGAATGTCTTTGCCTCAGATCAGGGTCTACGGGGGAGGACTCATCCATCAGCTCTGGGTAGGATGGGGACAGCACATCAAGACCCCTCCTGAAAAAGGACACAGCTCTCCTGACCGGCCCCTACCTGGGCAGCACCTGTGATCTGACAAGCTTTGGGCCTCAGCCATCAGACATCCCAGCTCATCCGTACGCCCAGCCTCAAAGGTAGCTTCAGACCAAAGACCTGATGGCCAGGCCTCTGTCAGTCTCCGAGACCCACAACCAGGTGGGCAGCTGAGGGAGCAGGGGAGAAGGAACGGGGGATCGGTGTGCGTCTCTTCATCAGCTTATTTTAGTCCCGTTATGTAACTGCGACTCCATGTCAGCGTCACGTAGGAAGGGGGGTCTCAGATTTAATTACAGGATGACAGCCTGGCTTTTCAAGCTGTTCCCCTGGCACGCAGGCCCCCGGAGCTGAGCTTGTCTGAGGAGGCCACAGCAAAACTCAAATCCATCTCCACTACTATCACCACCACCCCAGCCTACCCATTTTGGCTGAGCTCTGCCCCGGGAAGGGGGGGTGGGGGGGGCGCGTCTCACCGCCACCACCTCCCCTTCAGTTTGGCAGTCTCTCCCGTCTCAGGAGAAGGATCCACCAATCAGAACTCCTCTTGCCTTTTTTTGTCCCTGGATTAAAGCACTTGTCATCAGTCACCAGAAAGTTCCAGAGCGGGCGGCACCGGAAGGCCCTGGAGCCCCGTGAGATCCGCTTCCAGAGCTGAGCGCAGCCTCCCCTAAACACTGGCACCCTCAGCCTCCTCCTCACTCCAGGATGGCCCCTGGGGCACCAGGTAGACCCTCCTTAATCCCTGACACCCTTTGGCCCCACCATCTGCAGGACCTTCAGTATTAGACCAGCAAGGGTGAACGGAGGCCCCGAGGAGGTATGGGCTGTTCCCTGCACGCCGAGGGAGCCTCTTTGCTGAGCTTGGGGCCTCATCTGGTGCTAAACACCATTGTTGCAGGCAAGAAGGATGAGCCAGTCCGGGGTGGATGCCTCATGGTGGAGGCACCTGCCAAAGAACTGAAGGGGCTGTTACCTGCACCAGGTGAGGGCTCAGTGGATATTAGATATCATCATCATCATCATCATCATCATAGGGGAAGTCTTTGGGGAGCCCCCAATGCTGTACTGCCATTTCAGAAGTAAGGCCCCCCATGAGCAGCCCCCACACCCGCCCGTGAGTCGGAGCTGCGCACAGTGCCTCCTTCCCACGAGCAGCCCTCATGGTCAACACCAGTGTGGCGGGTGGTCTTGAGAGCATGCTCACACCTTTGATGTGACGCCACGCCCGGTCACCCCGTCTATCATGAGGAGGACACCCGTCTGCCGCAGCCGAGGGACAGTCGACACAACCGCCAATCAGTCCTCAGTACTGTCATTCCAGAGAACAGGTCACTGCCCAGAGCAGCCGTGATACAGCTGTGACGGGTCCTGGGACAGAAAGGAGAAGCTGCGCGAACTGACTGCGGTGTGAACGTGAGTTAGTAATGACTTGTGTCGGTTCCCTGATTGTGACAAACATACTGACGTCAGGTGTCGCTGGTGGGGGAATGGGGTGGGGGGCACAGAACACTCTGTGGTGATTATCTCACCCTAAAATGGCTCTCAAATAAAATCTATTTTATGTTTTTAAAAAAAGAAAGTAATTTTTTGAGTAGACAAATAATGCACAGGTGGCCTAGACATGCCTCTAAATCACCTGCAGGGTCTGAAGAAGGCTCCTGCCTCAGCTTGAGGCCAACACTGCTCCCAGGCCCTCTCTCTGACCCCCAGACCCTGTCCTCACCCACCGCTCAAACCCTCTCCTTGGCTCCCAGGCCCTCTCTCTGACCCCCAGACCCTGTCCTCACCCACCGCTCAAACCCTCTCCTTGGCTCCCAGGCCCTCTCTCTGACCCCCAGACCCTGTCCTCACCCACCGCTCAAACCCTCTCCTTGGCTCCCAGGCCCTCTCTCTGGCCCCAGACCCTGTCCTCAGCCCCCAGACTCTCTCTCTGGCTCCCAGACTCTCTCCCGGGCCCCCAGACCTTGTCTCTGGCCCCTGGGGAGGTCGGCACAGAGGAAGCACATGGACACTGGAAGATGGCCTGTGGACTGTGTTCTGGGCTGCAGCTGCATGCCTATGAGAGCTGAGGGTCGTCCCACCTGCAACTCGGCTCACCTGCCCAGGTGTGGGTTCCTGCCTTCCCTCCTCTCCAGATCTTGCTGCCATCTGCTCTTCACCCTCAGATACATGGCCCTTGGTAGATGGAGCACAGGCTTCCTTCTCTGTGACCAAGAATCCCTTGTGTCCAGAAGCAACCTGCAAGCAGGTGTGGACAGCGGCGTTGGCTGGGAAGCCCACCTGGCACCATAGGGTCTGGGCACTCCTGCCTGTGTGCTCGGCCCAGCCTTGCCCTTCTCGGAGACCAGGCCTCTGAACTGTGCCAGGGGCTAGCCGGGCGGAGCCTTACATAATCCTAGCGCCCGTGGGAGGCAGCTCGGGTGAGAGCAGGGTGCAGCGGGCCCCCCGTTCCACTCGGTGTTTTTCCCTCTTATTATACTTCAGTCTTATCCTGAGTCTGCTGTCTCTGTCACCCACTTGCTATTAGAATGCATTAACTGACAATAGCAGATTTAAATAACTTGAGCAGGTGATGTACCTATGCCCTCCCGTGCTGCCCAGGTAAGCAGAAGACTGGGTTCGGGGCAGGGTGTGGGCGGCAGGACCACTCACCCCCAAGGTCCAGCTCAGGACCACTCGCCAACTTACAAATACACAACTGTGATGGGATTCTAAAGCAAGCAAGAAAGATTAAA